AGAAGGCACCCTGGGTCTCTATGGGGCTGGCATCCCTCACGCACAGTTGGTCATTCACGATGTATAAGCTGGAAGAATAATGGGCCCTTAGACAGCTGGACATATGGACAACCCCGTACCCACAACAACGATCCTGCTCCCACCCAGCAACCACTTCCCTTCCATCCCCTACTACGCCTGCCTCCCAGATTCCTTGGCTGGTACCCTTTCCCCTCCCATAGAACCTGCCTTTGGAGAGCTATCTGTCAGCCACACTGGATTTGTAGGTTTACCTCAACCCGCCTTTACCTTTACCCTTTACAACAGCCCAAGAAGGTGGATACTCTAATCCCCATATTCACAGGAGGACACTGAGTCACACAGAGGTCGTGTAACTTGACCAAGGTCACACAGCTGGTGAATGCTGGGGTCAGGGTGAGAACCCGCTATTCCAGCGTCAGAGCCTACACTCTTAACCACTGGGCTAGACTGCTCCTGGGATCTACCTTTTGGCATTCTGCAATATTGGGGAAACCCTGAGGAATGCACCGTCACCTTCCACACCACTGGCCTCAGGTTGGGAAGGATGTTCCCACTTGGCATCCACAACACAGCACTTACCCGGAGTTGCTGGCAGGAGTAGCGATGAAGATCCGGGTGAAGGCATGAACATGAGCCTGACACACTCCTTCAACTTCAAGGACAACAAACAATACCCCTCAGAGTTGCCCATGCTTTACACGCTCACCAGCACCATTCCCCACTCAGGGTCTGACTGTCCCATGGCACCCTGAAGGGGCCCAGACAGGGACAACTGCCCACGGTGAGTCAGGAGGGGGTGACAGTGATGGGAAAAGCAGCAACAGGAACAATCACCTCCAAGTGATAGGGCCCCTACTCTGTGTCAGGCCCTGTGACACACTCTTCACACATTTGACTCATTTTTCACAGCAGCCCAAGAGATGGGTTTTACAAATGAGGAAACTGAGAGGTAAGCAAGTGTCCCAGATGTCAGAGTGAGGGACTAAGATGAGAGCCATCAAACTCCACAGC